AAGAAGAGAGAGAGAGAGAGAGAGAGAGAGAGAAGAGAGAGAGAGAGAGATAATTTTCACTTTCCATTTGTGTGTTTCGATGTGATATCCTGCCGGATAGCACTGGCCAACGATGATCGGCTTCCCTTCCTGATCGGAAAAAGCTTTGCTTCCTGCGGAAAGAGCGTACCAATCATTTTCCTCCAATTTATTTTAAGTTTTTCTACATCCTTTTCTACTGTAAAAATATCTGTGCAACATACGGTTTTGTTTAATATAATTCTTAAGTATGTCTTTTAAACAGAAATGTTTAACATAATTTATTGATATGATAATTGAAATCTATTTTCTTTTTATTAAAATATATTAAACATAAAATTTGAAAGAAGGAGGTTTTTTTTAAATATATGCTGCTTATAACATTTACAGAGATGAAACAAAATTAATATATTTTCTAATTCTAAGTGAATATTATCGATGAAATTAATAAAAAGAAAAAATTTTGAATGCGCAATTTACCATGTATTTAAATTTTTGAATAATGTAATATTTATAAAAATATTTTCAATTATCATTCTTATAAAATTTAAATTTTTCTCATCTTTAAAATAATACGTTGTGATGATGTTTTATTATTCAAATATATCTAGCATTATTTATTGGTTGTATTATTGAGTAACCGTATATTGGACAGACAGATTAAGAGCAACAGCACGTGAATAAAATGTGTCGCTCATTTATTTGCCGGTGTATTTATTTATTTTGCCAACATCGGCAGAAACGTCGAATTTGCTAGGGTCATTCGGAAAAGCCGATAAGAAAAATCTTCAATTGCCGAGCCAGTGCGATCGGACAGTATTAAAATATCGCTCGGGCCATTTGCGCTCGATGAAACAAAGTCGCTTGCATCTTCGCCCTCCTGCGCGACCCCGATACATTGGTGAGGTGGATATCCCCGTCTGGCCCAATAAAATTTTTTAAAATTTGGCAAGGGTAGTCGCTTGTCAAAGGCGATTAAGTAATGTAACGAGTCGAGAGAGAAGCGATGAAGGATAGAGATACGCGTTGCCCATCCGGAAAAGTAAAATATATACTTGTAATTCTTCTTTTTATTTGTTACAATTTTGTAACAAATTTTCTTACAATTGCTAAGATTTTTTTAAATTTTTGTATGATTAGATTGCGAGAAGTTTTTACAAAATTTCAGAGTAAACTTTTTTATATGGAATGGCGGTGTACTGTGAAACGCGTATCGAGGTCAGTTGTCTTTTCGTCGGCGCACACGCACAATCGTTTTCGTATATGTGTCACCACTTGAAATCTTCCTTCCATTTCGTTATTTGCATCGTAAGATAGCTAGCTTACTATCCGGGTAGAAAGATCTATCACAATTTATCATGAAATCTCACGAAGTTCTGTAATAAAAATATTTA